ACATAATGAGACATCGGCGAGACCGCTTCCTTGCCATTTTCACTGTCCTATGTCATAATCCGTCATTGCCACGCGGATAACTCTGCACCTTATACACTTTAAAAAGGCAATCCGACTAGGACACGGTAGCATCAAGCTACTGGTGTCGGTTGTGTCCCAAGTCCTGTAACGATTCGTGTCAATCGCAAAGTGGGTTGCGTGGATTCCAGCCTGGAAGGCGAGACTGATTGACGACGCCGAGTTGGGTCGTCGGTGAACTCACTTCCCCTGCCTAGTTACTTTTGCTCACCTCGAGCTTTGCGCCACCCTATATCGGACAGACTATAAAACGTCCTCCTCGATATGCGCTGACCAGGCAAACGTGCTAGGTGCCCAAGTCAACGCAAATTATTCAGTTCTGTCTATTTCCCTAAGGAATTAGCAGGGTTATCATTACTTAATACCCATTTACGCACATCGTTGTTGTGGACATGCTGCTGCCATCCAACACCAGCAGTGCTTGCCAAACAACGGCGATCAAAGACTTGAAGGCGCCGCCTATCCTCAGATCGCAAGGTTCGAGCCTCTCTTCCACAGAGTAGGACAAGACTCAATGTGGCCATGTAAACATGGTCTTTCAAACGAAAGCAAACACCTTTCTGACGCTACGGATGCCGCATGTACAGATATCCAATTCTAGCTTTGGAAATGCTTGAACTGACTCCAGTCCATATGCGCTCATCACTGCTGGGACAGCTGCCAAGTTAACTGAAACCCTCAGCTGTATCGAGTTCCTCGCCATTAGGGGTCAAGGGTCATCAAGTTGCTGGTGGCCCTGTAAAGGCACTTGCAATTTGAATTCTTGTAGTGCACTTAAAATTATAGGACCAATACAGTGAGAGGATTCAAGGTAGGATGCGCCGCTACAATATCGTTAAAAAGCAGGGAAATATCGTAAGCAAAAGCAAGATTAGTTAGGATTTCACCTGACCGCACCTTAGCGCCTGCAACGAAAGATTCAACGAGGGTACACTTCACGATGCAATCCACGACGAAAGTGAAGAAAATGGGAAAATTGGGTGACCCTAACGAAAGCCACTTCTGTCGGAATGGCATCCAACAAATCACCTCAGACTCTGAGGCAGTCTGTCGTGTTCCAGTTCACTTATTTATAAAAATACATTTCTGAGTGTGCATTTTGAAAAGAATGCATCAAACGACTGAATCGAAGCCACTCATGAAATCGAGGAACAGTTATTGTCGAATTGTGGAACGTGTGGCGCTACATAAGTACCTGCCGCAGAGTTAATATGCGATCTGTACAGCCAAGTCCTGGGCAGATGACTGCCTGCTCTTCCCTAGTCCGGATTTGCCGTTCCGTAGTAAAGCGACGAACTAGAATTAAGGCCAGTAATTTTGTCACAACAGTCGTTATGCTAATACTCCTTTGGTTAGCACAGTTGCTGCGACTGTCTTCCTTGTATAGCGCCACTAGAATCAATTCACTCTAGTTACCTGTAACGGTCTCCTTCTTCCAGACATGTTCGAACAGGGCAGACAGTGTTTACAGAGGACTTCACCGCCATCTGTTAATAGCCCAGATGTCAGCAAATCTGGACCAGCAGCACGAAAACGAATAATAGCTGCAATGGCGTTTGGGACCTAAGCCTCTGACGGAGTCTCTAAACTAACTAGCCACGGTTCAGCCTGAAACACCGGAGCAGAAAGAGGTCCAGAAGCAAGGAAAAAAATGAATTACTTTCAAAGTGTTCCCTCCAACAAGCCATATGGCGCCGCTTATTGTGCATCAGTGAACACGCGCTGTCTCTGATTGTTTCACTGATGCCTGGTTTTGGGGGAACTGTGGTGCGGATCAGCTAAAAATTCTTGTGATGTTTGTCTACTGCTCCTACTTCCCAATTTTTTGAGATCGACTTGTCCACCAGGCTTTCTTGTCACCACACAGGCTCCGCTTTAGTTCACATTTAATAGTCCGTCTGGTAATTTTGTGTTCAGAACTAGCCCGGAGTTTACCACTTTATTGCAACACCTTCACCGACATCTCGGCTATCAAGTGACTGGTGTGGTTATGGTGCCGTAAGAGGAGGTTGCTGTGTTATGCATGGCGGCAGAGATCCCATTCCGTTGAAGCCCAGGGTCACTAGGAAAAGAGAGTAAATACTCAGTACGCAGTGCATCTTCGTAGGCTAGCCTGACTGGTGGTTGACTTAATTTCATAGTTACCAATCTGGAGAGGAGCTTGCTACACATCCCGGTGAGTGCTAGAAAAGCGACAGCGGACGAAGGCATGATCAGTGCTGACTCCATACTCCAGAATTAACGACATTCCATGATGTAACTACACCAACTGTAACTTATAGCAATGTGATCTCTTTCGGTCCTTTGCTGGTCAGCTATATGAGGACAATAAGTGCCACTTCGGTGCGCACAATGTCTAAAAGCGGATGTTCGGACCAAGCTGTTACAGACGGCAGCCGTTGTCAATCCGTTCGGAGTCCAGTTCATACTTATCACCTAGCAATGCTAATTTGCACTCATATCCCCTGCAATACCACTGATATTAGAACTGCCAACACAGTGTATTAATATGTTTAGTTTGTGGTGGAAGACGGCATTCGCAGCATCAGGGCTGCAATCGATGGTGGCATAGGCGGAAACCACGAAGAAACGGCGTCTAGTGCTACTCGGTGAATCAGTACTAGTTAGTGTCGCCGAACAGACTACAAACAAACGGCGGCTCACGGAAATGCAATCAACCAAGGAGGACGAACTTAGAACTAAGAACAATACGTACTCCAGCTGGACCAGTGGTCATTTCAACAGCTTCTTTGGATGTGTGCAACTAAAAACAAGGGGACCAACTGGACGCAGTTAAGTCAGCATCCCCGTGAAGGTCATTGCTTCTAGTTTCGGGCACAAAACACACATCAATACACTGCGTGTTTAACCTGCGACCGAGTGCAGCCCGTTGTCCTATTATGCTAAAGGGCGAACGTCGCACGCCGCCAGCGAAACGGGACAATGCGGAATTATAGGAGCTCTCGGCGATTAGTGTCCATTGCCTGATACGGGAACATAACTGCAGATGGTAATAATCCAACGACATTGCGGTTGCTCTCAGTTGAACCGGGAATTAGTAGATAAAAGCAAGTAATGAGGACTGAGAAGTGAGTAAGAGAAAAAGTATGAAAGGAAAGAAGGGGGCGCATGCAGTAGCATATTTTGCTTACCTGCCTTGATGTAGACAGAAGATATGGCGATCATTGATAAGTTGCGCTACGGCCAATACACGATATCGTCGAAGCTTAAAGAAGTAGTCATGGTTGTGCGTAAGCTGAGATAATGCTACCGCGCCTAGAGCTAAATAGGAGAACGATTGGGGTTCTCAATAAAATTCTTCAACTCAAACTCTAGTCTGTAATGCAGTAGAGGTAGTAACGGTTTATTCGTACAAAGTGGACGCCATCCCATTGCATTTCCCCAACCTGGAGGACGAGACTCAATTCCTTTGACCTCTAAACATTTACCATCTGTTAAAAGCGGTTATTAAGAAGCCCAAGCGCCCCATCCAGTATACTTCAATGTGGCGTACAGGTACGGAAAACATCACGGACATAGCTGCAATGGTTCGAACCCAATAGCTTACTGGTTCGGATATTATTACATTGCTATTAGTAACTAATGACCGACTTAGGTAGTAGTTCAATTTGACATTTGTTGACTGATTTGCTAATTTGTTTTTATGCCAGTTATTTCAAAATTAAGCTTTAATCATTCTACTTGGAATGCTCATTATAAAGCACTGTTTGTGCTGATGAAATAATGATTATACATTACAGAGCGCTTCAAAATGGCCATCCCAACCAGCCAATAGCTGCTGTGGCAAGCGTTGGTCGACGTGAATCAGGGATGACATAGGTTTCGGTTAACCCTCCAGAGGCCCCTGGTATCTCGAGCCGATAAGAGCAAACAATTTAGCAACTGCTCTCGTAACGCAGCGTTTTCGACGTGGCTAACGCCCAAAATCCTTCCGTTCCAGCTACGGTACTAGTGATCGAAATGATAAAGGTTTACCGTGATGTGAATCACTGCCCACATGGAGAATGAGCGTCGCAATATTTTCACAAAAATTGTGCTCCAAAATGAACAGTACATTCAGTCATTAAATGTTTGACAATATTTTTCCACTTCGACTGGTTGAAAGAGGGCTAGAGTTTGTTACTAACTTTCCAATGGCTTGTGTTCCCGTGCCTGTTATACCTACCTGATGAAATATAACAGTGTTAATACCTGTTAGAATGCATCGTTTTCGGGTAGAAAGCAGCCAATATCCATCTGAGTCAACCAGTGGATTGTGTTTTTAAATAGCGTAGTGATCGTTGTGCTCATGCACTTACAGACAAAAGTCTCAACTATTTTGCCTTCCGTTCTATAGTTAAAAGCTTATAGATGTGAGGGCAACTTGTATGGCACAATGTTGCTACATTCCCTCAGAGATAGGCCTTGCCGTATGGTCCATCTGAATAACAAATATACACAAAAAAGTTAACTTTTTGACTTAACCGGACATGTGATCATAGAATCTCCATTATAGTTATCGTTTATAATTAGATCGCACCCATTTTCTGACCAATACTGTTTAGTAAATTATTAAGCAGACTGTCTTTTCTTAACAAATTCAAATATTTAGCTAAAGCTGACCGTTATGAAGCTGAATATAGCGCATTCAAATTTGGAAAAATATATATCCGTAGAAATGATGGGCATACTATCTTGCGTTTTGGATGTAATGTATATTACCTGACCAAGGATTATCTGAGGGATCAATATTATAACAAAATGCAAGAATATGGCGTATGTTAAGCAACCACTTTTGCAACCTATACTTGGGATCCATGTTGCTTCTTAACTGCAAACCTTGGTGTATACGTTTGCACAGAGCCCTGACATTGAGCAGTCGGATTATATCTCGAAGGTAAATAACTCAATAGACCGATTTGTTAGCAAGTACCTTGCAAGGAGCTTACCATGAGTCCCGTCGTGACGGCCACCAGCCTACCACAGCTAGTGTGTGGGACAATATCCCCGTAGCCAATACTTAGGAAGGTGACTGAAATCAGCCATGCGGAATTCAAAAGCCCCAAATGATTTTCTCCTTGTTCACTGAAAAAGATGGCATAAGTGCTTGCATTTACTTATGAGCTTCTATTGCTCATGGGGTAGAAAATCAGTAGTAAATGCCGAAAAGGATGTGTGGATAATAAATCGGGTTGTAAGTAACAAAAATAAGATTTCAACTTTGCAATATTTATGTGGACCTTAACCACAAACCTCTAAAAACCAGCTAATTTAATTAAAAACCCACCGGTGCTCACAACCGTGCTTTTCGTGGCTAAATTTTGTTTCTAAACTAGATGGTTTATATATTTTAGTTCACCTAAATAATAGCCATATACACGCTTGTATCGTACACCTGTCGTCATGTTTCGTTGTTCGTCACGTCCTCCATACTGCGTAGTAAATAACTTGCTACTTATAAGCTGACTCTAGTTGCGTCAGCCGGATATTCGCAAGCAACGAGATCAATATAACAATTTAATGGTTGTGTTTTTTAAAACAGCGGTAGTTAAAGTCTTTCGATTTGAAGGGGACCGTCTATTAGCTGGTGTTCTCTAGAATGTACACGGTAGTACTTACCAGTTCATCCTGTTCATAATTGAAAACCACACCAAAGATGGTTCTTAGCCAGCAAGCATGTCAAGGCTTCGTATGAACTAAGCTCTCCAGTTTATAAGAAGAAGCGTCCGCTGTGTTGTTTAATCAACGTGCATCCACTAAACTCAAGATAGCAATCTGGTTCTTTGTCAACAGAAAATGTTAGATGAAAAAGCACTTTGTTCAAAAAACACTTGATTTGGAAAGCACTAAGCAGCGTAAATCAGAAAAACTTTGTATCTTACATCTGACAAAACTACCTTTTTGATGCATAACAATACCGGCAAAAGGAACGCGATGTTTTTAAAGATGTTACACATCTTTCACACATACAACTGCTTAGATTAGCCAGTTTTTGGACCCAAATGGATCAAGTTTGCGAATACAGCAAATGCACGATCAAAACAGATGTTCCCATTCTCGTTTTTTAGCGCTATCACCTGCTGCGTACATTTGACTCGACAGTTTCTGTGAAGCAAAATTACAGGATTTGTTATCTTCGCAACTTTAGATCTCAACAACAAATGAATTGTCGTAAGTTGATGCTTGACATAAAAATGGGTTAATTTAGGCTACTATTAAAGGCAACATAGTTTAATATACTATCCCTAGGAAGGGTTTTTGTGATTGGGTGTTTCAATGTGTTTGTTCCTTTGGTTTTACATTTTTGCTGAACAGTAGGATGGAACCATTGTGTAGAGGATGTATGGATCATGCTAAGTACTTTGGTACTAAACAACTCCGTTCCCAGATCCGCACGGCTAGACACTGTGCCAAACTATGTTACTAACCGATATTTAATGAGGGTTATATGATACTATGCCACACCGCCCTACGGCCAGTGTGGGCAAGGGAGTGCGAGTGGAAATGTTCGAGGGAATGCTCTTCGTAGACGCAGGTCTTCTGGGGAAGCTTTCATGGATAGCAGTAGTAGTTTACTTTGATATTTGGTTTAATATATGTTTGTTTCCCGCTTCTAAACTTTTATAATAGCTTAAATCTGCCAACCACTTACAAAATCTTTTGTTCTGCTCCATTGTATACTGCGTGAACAATTACTTATTTTTGCTATCTTTTTGTTCAGAGTGATCAAACCACCTAGTTGGAATGTGCCTCGCACCAATAAGGAATATATATAATATATTTAGTTATTTATTTCGCTGCGTATTAGTGCAAGCGTTAATGTACTGATACATGGTTTGCTAACATCTTAGTTCTAAAACCATGACGGCTGACTCGTAGCAGCTTTCTTAGTTTTTTGCTAATATATCTGATGGGTTAAATATAAAAATGCAATCTAAGACACACAGCTGTTGCTGCAAAATCCGAAAATCAACTAGCCGCAATGTAAAAACACTGCTCGCGGAGCTCAGTGGCCTAGTGATCATGGCGATGGCCGCCAAGCAGTATGCGCCGAGTTCCACACCCAGTTTGACCATCTATACCTGATGAGTCTAAATGAAGACGAAAACGTCGGTCCTGGAGTGAAGGGATGAGAGTGGGTCACACCCAAAACTCTACTTCAGTGTAAATGTGTGTTGTGTACCGGTAGTATGCATTTCAAAATCCGATATAAACTTCAATACACGATAGCACTAATTCTAGTAAAAAGAAAATTTAACACATAATTCTATACTTCTTATGTTTATCCGCAAAATGTTGCTTCAGATGGTTTTAATATACTTAAGCGAAATTTAGCAATATTTGTGTACAATCGGTTGATCACAGAATTTTCTGAATCATTTGTCTTCTCGATCGGTTTCAATCCTACTTAAAGATATCAAATATGAGCGACAAATTAGACAAAGGTACTTTTTAATGGTGACTGTTAAGGTGAGAGGGATATTAACTCGATCTTTTACTTACAGTTCACATGCCCTGAGTGTCCAACTGAGAATAATCCAGATGGTAAAAATGAAGATGAGAAGGGATTTGAGTGGGCAGACGGTCATCAAAGTCTTGAGTACAAATCGCAGGTCGAAGCTGACCTGTAAGTGAAAAAAGGAACACAGATAAAACTGTTAATGTTACTATCGTCCATTTGTGGTGCTCCTAGTTTGGAGCTAACCGCAGAAAGATAGCTAAATTTTGAATAAACTGGCGCTGCTATAACGTAGACTGATTTCTTTATCCAGTGGAAAACCAACTGATTGTTACACATCAACAATTGTGCTGTATAATCGAAATGGATTCGTCTTTCGCATTGCCTACTTTTCCTTACTTCCCAAACTGTATATACTTGACCATTAACCGCAAAGTTTGTCTAGTAATATTCGTACGTTCTACAGTTGAATTCTTGATTAAAATTGCCAGAGTAAATACTGTATTTAAAAGATTACAGCAGACATGTTCACGTTTGAATAGAGTACAGAGGAAAACAGATATAATAATTTGATAATTAGCTTTAATATGCCAATAAATAACTCATGAGTTACAGTATCCTGCTTAATACTAATAATAAAGTTGTGTTACGGTGGTCTGTGTACAAATTTTCTGTTCTTTCTACGTGATTCACAGAAAGTTGTGCTTATTTAACAGTCACATACATTGTTTCTGACTGTCGTTTGCTTTCACCACAGGCTTAAATATAGGAAATAATTATTTACCTAGAACTATCTTTAGCTAACTCACCATTTGTAAGATATTGTGTAAAGCATTTTTAATTATCAACAGTAAATCCTAGTGCGGCGTTCATTGCGTTAATTTTTGATAATGCATTCGTTTATATTATAAGATAAACCATTATGAAGCACAAACAGTGAGTTGTTGATCATATAAAACAAACTCTAAAAAATGCCTGGAAAGTTTACTTATCATCACTTGGCTGCGGGTCAATATTGTTATAAGTGGGTTACCTTCAGTCTTATTCAAAATGTTCTTTCTTTATTGATACACGCCGGCAAAACTTAGTCTCATGACAACGGAGAGACCAGTGAATTACATCGTTCGGCCTTTTTAATATCACGTAGATAATTCTCGGAAAGGTATTATTCACCATGTAAAATAACCCCTTATACACTATTATTCATTGCAGTATTATTCGTTACAGTATGAACCCAGTATCTTATACACATTTCAGCTTTATTAGTTTCCTATGAATCAAGCAAGATGCATCTAATATAGAGCCATTTTAATTAATCTTACTCAACTGATCAAGGCAAGGCCGTCGTGATAACTCATGTTATCAGTTCAGTTTAGGTCAGTAGGATATAGCTGCCATAAAGCACTTTGAAAAGTGCTGTAATAAATATCGATTTTTGCCAACAACATATGCGACAGAACACGCAAGCTATGTGCATATATTGACAACTAATTTTTGCTTCCTTTTCATTCACTAAGATGCAATATTTATTGCGTCCTGAAGTGCTAATATAAATTTTCTACATCGATGTTGGTATAATAGAACACGCAGCTTTCCAAACTGCACAGTAAACTAAATCGTATTCTTCCATGATTATATGGACAAATATTACACAGTAGTTCACAGTTTAGGCAAATTTACTTCTAGTCCACCCTTTGATAAGGATTAGTATTTTGTTGGATTGCAATCAAGTCCGCTCTTGCTCACAATGGCACTTCCTGTTGAACACATATATATATGTGTATGCATATATATATAGAAACTAAACGAGAAACTTAATATTTTCTATCTAACACGATTAGTTATTTTGTCTATAACTGAAGTGAAGTGAAAATGTTATACGACTTAGCATGTTGTTTTGAAGTGGATCAGGAACGGAACAATTATAGAAATAAAAATATTTGATTTTATGCTGTAGCCACAGCAATTTTACTTCATTCAATACCAGAGCAATTAATCTTACAACGTTTGTATTCCTGAAAGTTTTCCAATCATTTCTTGCAAAATGTATTTGTGTCATCCCAAACACTTTATTTTTGCTCTTATGAACATTTGTCTTCGTTGAAATGTGTCTTTTGGATTTCCAGATATATTAATACAAACAATGCAGTCTGCCATTGGTTGTGAAAGTATGCGTTAGTTAGAATTTCAATATTTACATCTTTCAAGAATCAATGTTATGTCGTATCCATGGTACATAGCTTGATGCAGGAAATACAAACGCCTCCAACAATTTCGCGCTAGGTAGCTGACATATCATAAACATTGGATTTTTGTGATATCGAGTGGTGTTAGCATTAGTACAGTCGTAATTATTTGTTTATACAAACTACGCAGACCAAATCGCACAAAACGCATTCTACAAATTAAACAATTCTCGAGCTTTTAATTTTACCTTCAAAGAAAATATTTTAAAGCTAACGAATAAAGTCTCATTTCTGCATGGAACTATCTCATCGTATGATTGTTTAATAGTAAAAAAATAAAATGAGAAAGAATGATGCTACCACTTTCAAAATACCTAATACACTCAGTAGATGATATTGTCTCTTGATAAATGTGTGAATTCGACAATAATTTGAGAGGGGTATTAAAATAATTACGTGTTATTGGCTTCGACAGCGATTATACTAAATGACGCAAAGTGCCTAACATAAAGCCGTATAGATTATTGTTGTGGGTCACAGATAAAATACAATGGTATACATAAATCAAAAAAGTTACTTATGCAGATACGCATGCTTCAACAGCACTTCAAATTATACTTAGTCTTTGAATCGTTTAGCGGTTCTGAAACAGCTACATATATGTATCGGTTTACTACCGCTAAAAGTGCCTTATTCGAGAAACTTCAGCAAATATCATTGCGTGGTTGTTACCGCCATAAATATCAATTCTCCGACATGTAGTACCCTGCATAACACATTAACTGAGAAAGAAAGATAATTCTATTAGTTGCATCACTAATATATATGTATATATATTTGCGCATCTGCATATGGGATGGTATTTAAAGTGATCGACAAGTGTTAGCCCGTGGAATTCAAATCACGCGTTTTAGCGTAAAAATACGTTGTTCCTTTAAGTTTCTAACAATTTTGCAGTTATGAATATCTGAACACAAAATGCTTGAAACTGAAGCCAAACGCCATTGTCCGCATGTTTTATTGAAAATTTCCATCAGGTTATGCAAGAATGCAAAATTTCTTGTTAGTCTGTAGGCTTCTTGACATATATTTACGATTTTGACAAAACGGGTAAAATAACCACAATTCTTTATATATATGATCTGTTGCCCACCGCAGATACTAGTGAATATAAACGCAACTCTTTCATTATCGGAATCGTCATCAATTATTTTTTCATAAATGTCAGATCAAGTAGCTATGTGGTCTGACAGGATAACAGGAAAAATTTTAATTTGTGATTAACAAAGCTAAATGTAAACGTTTGCGCATGCAGGACTATCAAATTAGGATGTCAATGATATTAACTCCAGTAAACCGATCGAGCGAATACTGTAGTCTCCTTATAAAATATTTTGACCCCAGAACAATAGACAACACAGAAATTTTACGTGTCCGGTCAAAAGTATTTTCGGCGCTGACGTGAAATAATCCCCTTTCTTTAGGTACATTACAAGCTTATTGCGGTCATATGTATAGTTGGTTTCTAAAGACGACCAACAAAATTTGTTTGCATGTTTCCCTAAACTTGACATATGTATCTGCGGACTTATATAGGTTCCAATAGGTTTGCCTATTTTAAAAGTCAAATACAATTTAACACAATATCTAGACGATTTGTAGACTTCAAAATTGTTTGTTTTTATGGCACAATTTATCTGCCAAATAAAAGTGCGTATACAATGCTAAAAGCTCACAATGCTAAAATGACTGCGAAATTGGTTGAATTATGTCTCAGAAAACTGATCACATCTGTTTAAACTGAATTATATTTACGATATATTTGTACTTGTATAGCTTTTCCTATTCTTATTTGTGCCAGTGTTGATTGTTTTTTATCAATTTTTAGTACCTACAAATACAGTGTTTGATGCTGAAGTTCTAACACACCTGCTAAACTATAAATGGTTCTTTGTCAATGATCGCAAAGATGTCCGTTAACAATTTCAAACCAAAATTTCCTTTGCTCTATTGCTGACCTTCGCAGTAGGAATTTAACCTCCATAAAATGAACAGTACGTATTTATTTAAAAATGCGCAGCCGCATGCAAATGATAGCTTGGTTATAAACTTAGTGCGCTCAAGCTTTCACATCTACTGAAAAATGACCAAATCGAATGCCGTTATCAAAAGACAGTGGGATAAACAACAAGGCAGTTTTGTAAAAAATTTTGGATGCGGCCTGAGCAAAACCGAGTTCATGAATAAAATAAAACTTCTACAAACCGTTGGCAGCTTGCAACTGGCTGCTTATATCTCAAATTGTTCCGTCTAATTGGCTTAATTCGAATGCGCATAGAGAAATGAGCATTGTATTCTAGCTTGTTTCAACGTGGTGAAACATTTATGCATGATATTTTGTTTAATATGTTTTAAACGTGGATTAATCACAGGATATTTGAACTGTTAGCAGCCTCAAGTAGGAAATTTCTTGGGAATACGGAATGAACAGTGTTTGTTTCTACCTACCTTGTTCATAGCACCGATACTTCTCGAGCCTGCATCATTGAACATTTTTGAATGCAGCAGCAAAGCGCGAAATGCCAAATAAAGCCGCCCGATCATTGGTAGAACCAACAGCAGATAAGGGCTGAATGAGTCCTCCAAAAGAGGTGCATCATGTAAACGAGGATGAAAAGACGTGATGGGCTTGGCTGCCTGAGGTTTATAGTAGAACAAATTAATCCCGGGTGTAGGATGTATGGAGCAAATGATCAATTCGATGGTCACTTGCAAAACGCGCCTTTTCGTGACCGAAATTCGCCAGTCCTTGATATACTCTTCACAGAGGAAAATCTGCAAGTTGGATTTACAGCAGAAACAAAGAGTAGAAAGATGCAACCCTTAATGTAACTAGAAAATTTGTACAATCTACTTCAAATTTAAAGCTGTACAAGTTGCTAGTTCGTTTACAGTTTGTTAGTTGTTGAGATTTAAGTACAAACCTTGGTAAGTATAAACCTTGATAAAAGGGTTATTAATTTTAAATTTCGACTCTGTGGACGCATAATTATGCATGGGAAAAGTTACGGTAAAAACCATACTGGCTCGGGTAGCTGCTAAACAAATATAGTGAATGATTTAGTAATCATAATTGGAGTGATACCTGTTTCACAAACTCAGACTGGACCGGTCAAGCTGCAAGTATTCTCAGAATTTAGTATGACTTTACGTCATCCAACATATTTGTTTTTCACTCAAGTCAGTCTGTGTGAAGCTAATATTTTGTGAAATAGACAACTTTGTCTCGCTGTACAGCAACACTTTTAAATAGATGATGTGAAATTACCTGGATTTGGAAGTGGCATTACGTAACCTACACTATGTTTTGCTCACTTTGCTGTAGACAAGTTTGGCACACCAGATAAACGCAGCTCGTAATCACGGCGGTTCAGTGGTTCATTTGTATGTTTCACTGGTTTTCGATATCCGTTTACAAAATTGATGTAGTAAAACACTAAATTCAGCCGCTAGAATTGTTACTTCAGCCTTAAATGCTTTGGCTGCGTTAAACGCATAACGTGGGATCCTCCAATGCAACTCACCAGTGATAAATACGCTATTACATCATTTCATAAAGTTCAGCAGAAAAATGTTCCCTCGACTGGGGTACTAGACTTATATTCGTCAAATAAACATTTTGGAAGTTCTCGTCATTTGATCCGATAATTCAAAATAGCAAGAGAATCACGCACGAGTTATACTGAATGTGTCACAATGTGGTCTTGTTAGAACTTATTACTTCATGAGCGTCATGCAGTCGCTGCTCGCACAAGTGTATAAGAAAACTCACCAATATTACTAAGTTGGCCAGTACAGAGTGCAATTCCATTTTTGCTGGCAAATGTTTTCAAATCGACATGCTCTTTTCGAAGGGGATCATTGTGGAATGGCTCATACAGATAAATAATTAGTTCGTTTAAACAGTATTGTTTGGGTATGCATGTTGTTGCAATACGAAATGTGGTAGGCATCTTGCTCAAACTCGCTGATTACAAAAATCAGTTTGTTGGCAGTATAACTTTATTTGCTACGTATCCCTCAGCTTGAATAAGTTGGAAAAACCAGCTATTTTACAAAAGATGCAATGTTTCAAATCTTCTATTTCGCCCACCATTCTCTCCTTAAATGCTAACTTCCGCCTAGGTGCTGGCATCCTTATCCTCTAAACTGTGGTTTAACACACCACCTTCTAAACACTTTATTTCACGTTTGTTCAAATCTACTAGCCTTGGTAACCACCCTCCGTTTCCGAGTCCACAAGGTACTGTCACATTGAGCTAAGGTTCTTCCCACATACATCAAGAGATTAAATCAAAGCTTACGCCGCCCAACTGCATCAGCAAGCGTATTTAACAACCTATTTCTAGTCAAAGCCTAGTTTGTCAATGTTTGGAGACTAATATAGGTTGGATTACAGGCAGCGCTTGTTCGCCCTGTAGAAACACTGCTAACATCAATTGATGCGTTACGAAGACCCGTTTACAAGACGGTTTTACGACTCCGCAGTTGCTTTCAGTGGGTGCAAGCTTTACAAGCATGTACACATTGCACTTATGAGGAGACCCAACTATTGAGGTTGCTGGAAATGCAGGTGTGTGTAGTGCTTGAACATTTTGCTTTGACTACACTACTCGACCGGATCCCTGTTAACATCTTGCTTCGCGTAATTCCACTAGAAACTTCAATATGATCGTCTGGCCGCGCAGAAAGCATATGGTGCCTGCCCGTTGTAACAGCGTATGTTTCCACATCCTGCAACAGTGGCACTGATAAACATAAGTTCAACCGTTAACTCTTCTACCTTCTCCAAAAATATCGCAGCACGAAAATCGTGTTGCCTGCCTGAGACGTAAAGGTACAGGTTGGCATACCTGAAGCTGGCAAAAGTTTACACGGAGATCAACATAGCCTGGTACTCGCAGGAGAGACAAGAGTGTTCGACAAACTTAACGTTATGCCGATCATAGCCTAGTTCTTACAAGTACTATATTTCAGAAAATTTTGCGACGATGCGCTGGCCATGGACGCAAAGTTACCAAATCGCCATCAGTTATCACTGGCGCAGTTGCGAAACTGAATAAAAATTTATCTGGCTTATATGTCCCACTTCGGTTTATGCATTCATTTGAGTAAAGGTACCAATAGGTTTTTGATAGTCCATGGTGCGATGGAGCTGGTGGTGGCTAGATCCTGATAGATGGTCTACCCACCGCTGCTACTGTTTTGCCATTGGCTCGTGTACTGGGTGCTTCCTCGTGGGAGTTGGGTTACGCTATTCTCCGTGCTAAGATCCAGCATACCAATCTACATGAGTCAGTGAATTGATCATGTGTTAGACCCGCTGCCTTTCGGGCGCACATTTAATCGAACGCTTTGGCTGAGGACCCGAGTCGTTCTCCTGTAAGGATTGGGCGCCCTACCAGTATCCTAGTCCATCCTATCCGGAGGTTAGGAAGTGGTCGATGGCCCTCTTCCCGTAAAACCTAGCCATGGGAGACAACAAGTCTACGGGTTGTAAGCTCACAGCTCGAATGGCGTTTTACACGAACGCCAAGCATTTTCTCTGACGGTGGGTGAGCACCACCGGTTGTTCAATGTTGTGCTAGTGCCCGTCTCAAGCTAGGCAGCCCCTGGTCAAATTGGTGCAAACCCGCCAAAAACCCACCTGCGTCTGGCCGTGGTCGCAGGTGCGTATCCAATTACGGTCGCAAAACATATGATAACTGTTCCAGAACCTCAAAGGCTGCGTGTGACGGCCGTCAAGCAGATCCCCATCTGTCTCTGCAATCACATTCCCGAGCTGGATCTGCTCTCCACTGCCTTGTGGGTCAGGCTATTGAGCCAAAGGCTCCGGGCGGAGTCCCTCAAGCAAACCTCCAAACCACCCACTGCCTTGTGGGTCAGGCTATTGAGCCAAAGGCTCCGGGTGAAGTCCCTCAAGCAAACTTCCAAACCACCCACTGCCCTGTTGGTCAGGCTATTGAGCCAAAGGCTCCGTGTGAAGTCCCTTTAAGCAAACCTCCGAAGCACAACGACCACCTCGCGTGTGATTGCCTACCAATGCAATCGTATGCCTGCGCGCAAAGCACTCAGCATCGGGTGCTGGAACGTGCGCACACTGCTGGACCGGAACTCCAGCGAGCGCCCGGAGCGACGCACTGCACTGGTCGCGATGGAGCTAGTGTGTTACCACATCGATATTGCGACGCTCAGTGAAACTCGGCTCGCTGAGCAAGGTAAGTTACATGGAGCAGGTGCTGGCTACACATTCTACTGGGTGGGAAACGCCGCCTGAGCACCACGTGAACATGGGGTCGGATTTGCAATATCCGATCGCCTCCATGGCCAGCTGGTGGGTGAACCAACGGGCATCAGCGCGCGACTGTTCGCCTACGACTCGGAAGAGGTACGTTTGCCACTTTTATAGGCACGTACGGTCCGACTATGTGTTATCCTGAAGACACGCGTGATCAGTTCTACACTGAGCTATCCTCCGTGATACGGTCTGTGCCGAGGAGCGACCGACTATTTCTCCTGGGTGATTTCAACGCGCGCTTTGGACGTGATGCATCAGCGTGGACAGATGTTATCGGTTCGCATGGCATTGTTTCAGTGAATGCGAACGGTGACAGGCTGCTCTCACTGTGTGCCACTCACGGCCTGACGATCACGAACACTCGGTTTGCACTAAGTGCGAGTGATATAGCAACTTTGATGCACCCACTGAGTGGTCACGCTCACCTGCTCGACTATATCATCGTACGTCAGCATGATATGCGTGAAGTGCGCATGACACGTGTGTGTGGCACGTGTGTGTGTGAGTGTGGCACTGATCACAAACTGGTTCGGACCAAACTGTACATATATTTTCGTAAATCGATGTATTGCACTCCCGCCGTGAATCGGCGTAAATTTAACATTCTCTCCCTCGGTACTGTGGCGAAACGTACTGAGCTGAAGAAGGCGATGGCTGCACGCCTGTGTGGTAATGTGGACTGCATAGCCACAGTGGGCGACCTGTGGCACCACATTCGCGACCAGGTGACAGCTGATGCCGAGGAGACCATCGGGCGCGCAAACTGTAAGCGGCCTGATTGGTTTGATGACAACAATGTGACGATTGGCGCATTGGTGTCAGAGAAGAATGCACCATTTGCTGCACATGTTGCAGACCCCAGTGACTTGGGGAAGAGTAGTCAGTTTCGCAAACTTCGACGGCGACTGACCCGAGAGCTCCTTCGCATTAAAAATGCATGTTAGAAGGAGAAGGCGAAGCAGATGCAATGCTACGCCGAACGCCGTCAACACAAGGAATTCTTTGACTCCTTGAAGGCCCTGTGTGGACAGAGATCGGAGCCGCTGAGGACGCTACTCGATGGCACTTCAGGCGCTACATGCACACAAACTTCAGATATAACGCAGATCTGGCGGAAACACTTTACTGTCTCTTGAACAACCGTTCAGCGATCGACTGGCCTACATTGAACGGCCTCAAGCGGCACGATGTGAAGACTGATCTGGTGGATACGCCGACACGGGATGAGACGCAGAGAGCACTTGCTCAGCTGCGAAACGGCAAATGTGATGGAGCCGACGGGATCCCGCCTGAAGTATTGAAATACGGTGGACCCGCGTTGTTGACTGGACTGCATCGCTAGGTGCAACGCGTATGGATTTAGCAGGAGGTGCCTGCTGAGTTGAAGGATGCCCTTGTGTTACCACTGTACACGGCAAAAGGAGCAAGCACTGTTGCACGAATTATCGTGGCATCAACTTGTTGAGTTGTGTGGGCA